AGGTTGGAACTTGCTCTCAGTTGGCTCGGAAAAAACGTAGATAGGAAGAGACAATAACAAATCAAAAATGGCAAAATATTAACATTTCAGGATCCTGGATAAAATATTCATGGGAGAGCTTTGTGCTAGTCTTGCAATTTTTCTGTAAGTTTGTAAATATTTCCAAATTAAATGTTTAAAGGCATAGACTCAACCAAAAGTTAAAAATGACTTATTTTCTTCTTCTTTTGATTATTTTAGAATTGGGGTCTTACTCTGTCCCCAGGCTGGAGTGCAGTGGTGTGATCATAGCTCACTCAACCTAGAACTCTTGGGCTCAAATGATCCTTCTGCATAGCTAGGCTGCACCACCGTGCTCAGCTAATTGAAAAAAAAATTATGTTTTGTAAAAAGACAGGGTCTTGCTATGTTGCCCAGGCTGGTCTCGAATTCCTGGCCTCAAGTCATCCTCCTGCCTTGAACTCCCAATGTTTGGGATTATAGATGTGAGCCACTGTACCCAGCCAATATTTATTTTAATTAGGAAAAAACATCCATGTTTCGTACTGAACAAAAATAATTACAAAGATGTATAAGGCAGAGGATAACTATATTGGTTACATTCTTTGTCATCTATCATCTTAAGATGATTCATGTTAGCAGCTTAGCTTGTGTCCATCCTCACCTTCCTATATGTTAATATGAACATATTCAAACATAAACATGCTTGAGTTTGTTTTTTAAAGTGGAACCACCATAATATTAGCTTGGAACTCATATTAGGGAACAGAAGCATCATAGACTTAAGGAAAGGATAGAAAACCAAATCCGCCTTTTTATTAACAACAGGAGTATAAAATAATTTATTCAACCAATGACTTGTTATTCAGACATTCAGGGTTCTCTTCTTCCAGTTCTTTTTATACTGTATGCTATGCTGCAATAACAATCTTTGTGGAAACAGAGAATCTTTATAAACTGCTGCTTTTGTTTCTGTAGAATAGATTCTCCAGATTCCTATGTCAAAGTGAGTAAGTGTATTTGACACATAACGCCAGATTACTTTTTATTTACAATTCACGCTGCCATCAAAAGAATGCATTTCCTTCATCTTCTCCAACACTGGAAGACAGCACTGTTCATGTTTATTGACTGATTTCTTCTGCTATTGATTATTGATGTTCTTCCACTGTGAATTGTCCACTTAAATCTTTTGTTCCTTTTTTCTATTGGCTTACCTTTTTACTTATTTCACTTATCAATTTGAGGTTATTTACTTATATGTGGTTCCCAGTTTATCCTTTGTATTTTGATTTTGCTTATTCATTGCCATTTATTCACTTTTTTTTCGAGTTTTCTGTCTACTTTATATAGGTCACTCACTCCCAAGGTTATGCCTTCTAAATTTTCTCCTAATAATTTCTACTGTTTAAAAGAAATTACATCATTAATTCATTTTGTATTTACTTTTCTATAGTGTTAGGGCTCTTTTTCTTCTTTCAGTGAAGAGTTGTACCAGTACCTTTTAATAAAGCACAAATAGAAGTTTTTCCCATAAATAGAATCCTCTCTTTCAGGTAAGGTTGGATAATACTTGGGTGTATGTTTGACCTTCTTTTACTCCACCATTCTACCTACCTATATTCCTTGCCAATTCCATACTGTTTTAATTAAAGTATTTTTATGGTAAGTTTTCATATTTGTTACGTTTAGTCTATTTTTGCTTTTAAAAATGTTCTTCACTATTCTTGTTTATATTTTTTTCCATCTGAACTTTAACATTTTATCTGGTTCCAAAAAAAAGTGGGACTCGGATACTGCAGTACTATTACAGAGTGCTTGATATTTGTATGAGTCTTCCCATTCAAGAACACGACCTCTTTCTCTATTTGTTCAGGAGCTGCTTTGTGTCCTTCAACACAATTTTATTTTATTCATAGAAGTCTTACACCTTTCTTGATAATTTTTCTAAGCATTTTATAATTTTAACTATCATGATTTCCCCCCATTTAAATTACTATTTCAAGTATAGAGGAAAGGTACACCTCCACCCCCTGCTCACCTACTTTCATCTTCTTTTGCATCTGAGATAGCAGAGTTAGCGCTCACCCCAAGATCTTCACAGGCCTTCTTCTGCGTGGCATGATCTTCCCCTTTTTTGTTCTTTGGCTAAGTCCTTTTAGGCATCTTAATTTAAATGTCACTTTCTCAGTCTCTCTCATTATAGCACTCATTGACATTTGCATTTATACATTCACATTTCTGTTACATGTGTTTCTTCCTGACTTGATTTTAAGTCCATAAAAACAGAAGCATTGTGCTAAGATTATACATGTGGATCTAGTACACAGGTTCCTCGGTAACTGTTTGTGCTTAAAAGACCAATCCTTTCTGTGGATCCGATTCTTTACCACCTTTTGCACTCCCTCTCTAAAATCTTCAGTTTCTTCTCCATCTGCTAATTCTCTTAACTTTTAAACTGTCCCAATCACTTTGTCTTAAAAAAATGATCTGCTGCCACTTCAGATTATCACCTGATTTTTCTCCATATGCCATAATTCCCATTTGTACCCCAGTGTTTTCTTCCCACTCTAGCTCCTGACATTGCGTTCTGAAGACATTATGATGTGTTTTTCATTAAGCCCAGGGGCCTCATCTCAGCTATTATCACTTTCTCTCTCTCTTTTTTTGAGACGGAGTCTTGCTCTTTCACCAGGCTGGAGTGCAGTGGCGCAATCTCGGCTCACTGCAACCTCCACCTCCTGGGTTCAAGCGATTCTTCCGACTCAACCTCCCGAGTAGCTAGGACCACAGGCGTGTGCCACCACGCCTGGCTAATTTTATTGTATTTTTAGTAGAGATGGAGTTTCACCGTGTTAGCCAGGATGGTCTCGATCCGCCCGCCCCGGCCTCTCAAAGTGCTGGGATTACAGATCAGTTTCAATTTGCAACTCATGGCAATGATAACTTCAAAATCTTCTTTTGCCTTAGCGTCTTTGATTTTGCATCTCTTACCTCCTCCTTTGCCCCTGTGTTTCCTGATTTTTGATGTTTTGCATCTGTGTTCAACACTCTGTGATGCTTGGCCTATGCTTACAGCATTATAATGCTCACGTATTAATTCAGCAAATAAACTGAGTACCACAAACCAGGCACTGCATTATTAAATGTCAAACACCATAGTGAACAAAGCAGGAAGTACTTGTCGGTCTAGCATTTATTTATCAGTAAGATTGAAATTAAAGAATCACGCAAGCAATCAATTGGCTACAGTTGAGGTAAGCACTAAATGGAAAAGTACAGACTGTAGTCTGGGTGGCTCCTCAAAAAGGGTATTTAAAGTCAGCTTTGAAAGATTGGTTTGATTTTTTTGCTAGCAAAAAGGGAAGAGCCATTTAAGCTACACTGTTCCTAAGGTGAGAAGGAGCTTGGGGCCTTTGAAAAACTAGGCCAGTGGGACTAACGGAGAGAACAAGGCAAAAGTGGATGGAAGTATAGCAAGAGAAGTAACACACATCTTCTCTTTTATACTTGTGTATTAAGAGCTACATTTATCACTATTAGTGCTTGATAAATGTAGCTCTTATTACACGTGTAGAAGAGAATACGCAGCATTGCATTTAGTCATTATAAAATGCATTACAATTATCCTGTAGAGTTAGGAAACGATATCCCTATATGTGAGAAAGTGAGGATTTGAGCAATTAAATAATTTATATACAGGATTTCACTTTGAGAAAGTGAAAAAAACGATTTCCTGTGCACTGTAACACTCGCAGTAAAAGTAATGTACTTGAGCCCCCTAGTTGCAAATCCTAACTTTTAAGTGTCCTTCAACTTTTTCTTTTTTGGTTTAAAAACAGATTTAGGTATCCAAGTGAACATTGAAATTGGTATGTAAGACCAGAAAGAAAACTCCCTCAAATAAGTCTCTCAATTTAAATGTAAACTTTATATTCACATATTAGTCTGTTAATCATCAATTTTCCAGAAATTCACATGTAATTAAAAATAACACAACTTCATGGAAGACTTTTAATAACTAAAGGGATTCACTGCAGTTGTCTTTGTTAAAAATGTCATCCTTCTGATTTTAAAAAGTAATTGCATCAATTTAATGGTGCAATTTAAATGTAGTAACTGTTACAGCTGTAACAGTTACTACATTTAAACATACGTGGCTAAAAACATGTATACATTTTTTAAATAAAAATTTATAACTAGCCCCAAACACTGTCTTATGGCTAAAATTCTTACAAAATGAGCCATTCTTCATGATGATCTGTTTGGAATACAATTCTGATGTGTAAAGTATATCCACTCACTCTACCACCAGTCTGGTAGGTTTCGTCCCACTAAGGTCTTTTAGATTCAAATTTTCAGGTGAAGTAGTAACTTTCACTTATTATGTGAAGGGAACACTAAATATAAACCATCTGTAACATTCTTAGCAGCCCATTACAATGACAGGAATTGAATCAGTCACGTAAATTTCAGACTCGCAAAGCAAGCTTGTCCAACCCACAGTCCCTGAGCCACGTGGCCCAGAATGGCTTTGAATGAAGCCCAATACAAATTAGTAAACTTTTAAGAAACATTATGAGTTTTTTTGTGTGTGTGATTATTTTTTTCTTTAGCTCATCAGCTATTGTCAGTCTTAACATATTTTATGTGTGGCCCAGAGAATCCAAAAGATTGGACTCCTATGCTCTAAAGATTCAAAGCAGTACAATTAATATCCCTTTTTTAAAAATGTTTCAGAAAACTTCTCTCATTCAAAGCCAGAAAATGATGTCTTGAAGAGAAGAGAACGTGAAGATGTGCCTTAGTTTAACCATATTGATAAAACCACTTTTTAGGATTTGTGTAATCTCTGTTATCGACCTTGTCTATTCCAGCTCTTAAACTTCTCCAAAATGGCAAAGTTATGAAAATGTGTAAGACCTGTTTCTATAGATTAAGTATTAAGTAAAATAAATAATGGAAGACCTTTGGGGAAAAAAATCATAAATACCCAGACATTTTACTGTATTCAGTTTTATTTTTATGTTTTTGTTTATATTAGGATATTGTACAATTTTCAAACTAATAACAGAATTTTTGTATGTATATTTAAAGCATAACAAAATAAAAGTATTTCACAAAAAGATGTCCATATTACAGTACTATTGAAATATGAGGCACAGGGTAAGTATGCATTTGTGGGTTATAAACATAATACATTCATTTTAAAGAATAAACATTTAATGTGAATAACATTTTGGTTAAAATAAATATCATAGTAAATGTTAACAGCAACACCTGAAGTACATGGATACAAGAAAGGTGTTTTGTAATAGATACTATGTAGAATGGTAAAGCATTCATGAAATGGCTGTAATATCTTACTGAATTTACAATCATTGCACATTGTTGAGCACTTTATTTATGTAGACATACCCTTCATCCACCATTCCTAAACCTTACCATGCAAAACAAAGTTACTCCATATTTTCACGGGAGTAACTGGTACCAATGTCTAAATAAGGTTTAGTATCCACATAGCTTTCATTTTACTGCTCCTCAAATCAATTCAAATGTTTAACTTAATCAATATACTTATGAACACAAATAAAAAATATTTTATAGGTGGCTATATAAATTAGAGCTTCAAATCATCTTCATAATTCTTTGAAATTATCCCATTCAAAATTAAAATTTAATTTTTACACAGTGGTTTCTTTGGGAAAAATATGAACATTTAGATTAAAAAGAAGAAATATTCAAAGCAAAGTTTCCATATGTAGAAATAATGAATTTCCCTGATCATTAAATTCTTCCTAGCTATTTCCTTCTAGCAGATAGATTCACTGAGAAGAAAAGTTTAAATCTACTTAAAAGTCACTTTGAGGGGTCATGCTAATGAATTTTAGATCCATATATTCTTAAAGAAAAAAAGTGAGTATCTGTTCCAACCAGAGAACACTTCATCTCAATTACATTACATTAAAATGAACATGACATTAATGGTCAACAAGAATAATTCTTCTCATATTTCTAGGAATATATCTCCATGGATGCTCAGTATAAATGTTAAAAGTCACTGGAGTGTGAGAGAAACAATGCATCTAGCCCCCAGGAAAAAAAAAGATTACCTATTCCAAAATAAAATTACCCTTCAGAAACCATACATAACTGATTAGATTTCAAAAAACAAGAGTTTATACTTCTTGCTCTTTATACATTTTTAAAGTTTACAAATAACTTGAAAGCATTCAAATGAGTGTAAGAAAAACACATATGAAAAACAAAACCAGCAGTTATGTCGGCTAAAGGGAAGTGTTCTTTGAACATGAGGTTTTCACGTTGGCAGGATAATTCATCCTAAGGTTGTATGGTGGCACAGAGTCCTTTGACAAGTGACTGCCTCTTGGCCTTTGGGCTTCACAATTCTGTGAGGAGCTGGTGGCCACTAATAGGAAAGCATTCAGGGAAAGCACATCTGCACAAAGGCATTTACTAAACTCTGCCCATTTCCTTAAGCCACAGGAAGTGTTACCATCTCAGTCATCTTCGTGAACAAATACGGTACTTAGCTCAAAAGCTTCTCAATAGAAAAGCTAATCTCGTGACAATTCTGGCGTAGTAACGGCCAGTTTTCATTTTATTACACATATTCTAGAATTACAACCTTGTCAAATGAATTGAAACTGTATCAACATTCACAGGTACAGTACAACACACATCCTCTCTTCCTCTTCAACAAGACCAAACACATGCACACAGGGTGGCCCAAATTTTAAAAAGTTTAAAAAAAATGTTTTCAATCCGGCAAAAGTGTTGGTATACCAAATATCTTTTAAAAGGGCATTAGGCTCTCAGAAAGTATGAAAAAATAATGGATAAAATGCACATACAATATAAATAAGAAAGTAACTTGAAGAATAATATAAAAACATTTCTGAAGGGGACCAATCAGAACTTCAATAACACCTATGAATAAAAACTTAGGCTTATACTATAGTGTACAATTATGAGTTAAAATGCACTTAAATTTATAAAGAAACTGAAATATAGTATTGCAAGGTTATTCAAAGAATATTTTTCAAATGTACAAACAATAATAAAAACACACAAAGAAAGCCTTGGGCAATGTGCAACTTTAAAAATTATTATCACAACAGCCAAACAAATCCTTAACCACTTTTTAAATGGATTCATTTATACCATTTCAATGCAAAGATAATATCAAAAATACTAAAACAAAACAAAAAACTCTTCAGTGTCTGACTCATTTTGTCCCCAAATCTTTTCACATTTAATAGTTGCATTTTGAATGTATAAGCTAAGAGTTTTAAATGTTTCTCAAATAGTTTATGTCTACAGTTATCATAAGAATTATATTTGAAAACTACTCTAAGAACTAAAACTAGTACTTCAAACGTTTAAAAATAAAATCATGACAGAAGTTCACAATTGTGGGTCCGCCTTAATGTCCATAAATTACTAGAAAAGAAAGAAGTCACATGTTCAGATACTTTTTCTCAGGTCTGAGTCTACCCTGATGTGTGCCAAGCTGCACCTTCAATATTTGGCACTGACAGTCTATCTAAACACAATTTATTAGCAGAAAACTGTAAGCAATTCTAAAAACCTTTAGCCATTCAAACCCATCATGTTTCATTTTCTTTCCTCACATGCAATTCAATTATTCCAAAGTCATTTGGGTGTTGCAAGGAGGTGATTTAGGTGACTGGTACAAAATGAAGCTTATGTGAAAACTGGTTAAGGATTCAAAGCACACTAGCTCTGAAATACCAATCTTAACACCAGACATAAATGGGGAGGTATGACTTGCACAAAATACTTTAAATTACTTTGGTTACGCTCTTCATAATATTGCATGTTTAGCTGCTTGCAGTGCAGGCATGCATTCTCTTTGCCACGTCATAAACATAGGTGACGTCTGGTCGCTTCTCTGGATCTGGGTTGATGCACATATTAACTAACTGTCGTAGCTGTGAAGAAAGAAAAACAATAAAACCTGAATGAGACAACTGTTTTTATTTAGCTTACTGAAAAGAACAAATTATGAATAGCCATAGATTTTATAAGGAAAGTACATTTTCTGACTAAACATTCATCTTATGAGAAATATATATCAGACTGCTGTCAATGATTTAAAAACCAGTTAAATATTCTGTAAAGTGCATTGAGTGGACAGTATTAATGTCAACCAAAAAGCATTTTCCACAATCAGAGGCTTTAAAATGGACTTTGTTAGTTTTTTCAGATTTCGGTCAGAAGATAGCAGTCACTAGACTAGCCTTGTAAGTCTCCAAGTTAACTGTAGATACACACACACACACACACACACACACACACACACATTTGATCTAGAATCTACTACAACAGACTTAATTGTAAGTTTAAATAAAAGGCAATTAGAGTAGACATACATTTATAATGAACCATTTTATACAAATATACATTAAAAGTTTTATGTTAAGTTTTATATTAGAGAGAAAACACTCCTTTAATTATAATAAATAAGCAAGGGAAGTTCCAGTATTATTCCAATCCTCAATTGTGTGCAGAGTATTAAAATGTCCTTACTTTATAGATGAGAGAGAGTTGAAGTTTACTATTTTATTCTACTTGTACCATAGAATAAAAGCAGATTTCAACAAATTAAGAAAGTACCCTCACGTATGGTACTAGAGCCATCAGGTAGAAGAATATAGGATTTTATTCTCAATTCTATCAGTTTACAAAACTATGTGTCATCTTTACATTGTATATAATCTTCCACAGACAATAAACTAAGAGGAAAAACCAGATTCTTTTGTAGTTCTGTCTTTAGGAATAATTTAGACATTCTGAAAATTTGCATTAACTCTTTCTGGCCATGATATTAGCACTTAGTAAGTTTTCAAATTACCATAATTTCTTCAGAGTTCTCAACTTCTACCATAAAATGACTTTCAATCAGAGTAAACACAAGTGGTGATAAAAAGCATGGGCTGAATATGTTGCTAGTGCTATGAAGAAAGCTCACGGCAATGAGAAATGTCATCCTGAAGGAGGAGGTGGGTAAAGGAGTCTGCCAGATAAGGGTCAGAGTCTGGTAAGGAGTACAGTGAAATGGAAACCAGTTTTGTCAAAGGCACTTTGTAGACTTGTGCCCTTGGGTAGGTCACTGTCTTTAGAGCTTCATTTCCTCATCTATTTAATAGGGAGGCTGGACTAGATGACCTACAAGGGCTATTCTAGTCCTAATCTCTTAAACTGTATGATTCCAGCTGAATGAAATTTAATGATTCCATTTTAGCTACATTTGGATATTCAACAATGTTGCACAGTAATGTTACACCCAATGGGAGAGCCTGAAGATTTTAATTTATATTCCTTGCAAAAGAGCAGAGAACAGCATTAAAAACGCTTAAGGGGTATAGCAATACACAAGGCATTTTATTTTGGTGATCTAAGAGAAATTTAAAACAGAAAGAGGTTGGCATTTTATCAGGTTAAAAACAAACAAACAAAAATAAATATATCCAGTCATACACAATGGAGAAAAAAGTGGGAAAAGCACTTATTATATATTTTAAAAGATAACGTGTTCTAATGAGTCATCTAGCTGTCAGATATTTTCTTTAGAGATAAAAACAAAGCAAGCAGAAAAAATGGCAGGAAAAGATAACCATGGTACAAAAATTCATTATATTTAGCCAAAATACAAGTAGAGAAATGCGGTAATAATGTTTTGACTTCCTAACACTGTCACGTCCTTCAAGTTGGTTCAGAAATCTTATTTTTCCTGCATAATAATTCAGAATAGGGTAGAATTTCCAATGCTGAGAATGACTGACTGACTTCAGTTCTCCTGGCACGAGGAAAAACCAAGATTAGAGATTAACTTTGCAAGTTTAGTTGAAGAAGATAGTGATTCTCCAGTTCTCTCAAGTAAAAAGGCAAGAACTGGGAAAAACAGAAAGGGAGAAAGACAGAGAATAAGGTTCACAGGTAGGGGAGTGTCCTGGCAGATGCTTCTGAACCGCTCTTTTAAGGATGGCCTTTCTAAGGGATGGCAGGTCAATTGGTGACCCGACGGTAAGCAGAGCCAAAGCACTGTGGAGTTTGCTTTTCCCACCCCACTTACTCGTTCAATCTCCACCAAATACGAAGGGTATTTTGTCATAAAGAGTTTCCTTTCCCAGAAGAATCAACAGACCTATCACCATATAAAATCAGATATGTGAAATATACAACAGGCATACGTCACTATATTTATGAATCCAATAATCTGTTAATATAGCTTTTCTTCAATTACTTGTTACATTAAAAATTAATAAAATATAAAAAGAAAACCCTATAAAATTAAAATACGCTTTGGCAATGCTCCCATTTATCCACCCCAGCAATATTTCCAGAGGATCTACTCTGCAAGAGACACTATGCTGGTGGCATTTGGTGGCACAGGATAAGACAAAGGACCTAGCCACAAGTGAAGCTTGCTGTCCAGGATGAGAATTAAGAAAATGACTCATTTTCCTTTCTAACCACCTGACTCTTTCACTGTTTCTTTTTGCCCCTCTTTTCCATTTTCATTCAACTGATCATTCAGTAGTTTCCAATGGAGGATTATGTAGCAGACACTCTGTTAGGTGGTAAGGATAAAGCAATAATGAAAAATAGCACAGGCCCTTAAACAGATTACAATCTAGAAGATAAATGGAACAAAGAAACAAATGTGAAAGTGAAGAAATCATAAAAATAATTCTATTATAAACTACAGTGATAGGTATCTCAAAAGGTACTGTGAGACAGAGGTAAAAGATTAAGTGTAGCTGCCCAGAGTACTTTCCTCTTTTTCTACAACCTGTTTAACTATGAGTTGTTATACCTCATTCACTGAGGATACCCACACAGCTGACAGTATCCTTCTCCATTCCAAGAACTACAACCCTCATCCTGGGTCACTTTCCCATTTATCTGATGTGAATCAATACAAACCTCTTTGATTACCTGGCTGTAATCTTCACTTTCATACCCGTTTAGTCTCTGCCTTCCAAGGACACAGCCTGTTTCTTAAAATGCTGTGTCACATCAGAAACGTAAGCACACTCTCCTGTCCTTCCAAGTCTCTCCCTCCCTCCCTCCCTCCCTCCAGTACTGTTGTGTTTGATTTGACTGAGACCATTTTCAATCCCTTTCATCCTGGTCAGTCTTCTCCTTCTGGATTGACATCATTCAATTCTGGCCTAGACCTTAACTTGCCTAGACCTTAGTTTCTTTTGTAGGTTGATCTGCCTTTGAAAAATCTACCAAATGTTGGTATGCCCCGAATATTGTCCTTTCCTTAGTCATTTTCCCGTTTTCACTCTTCCGTCTCATCTTCAACAACTCCGCTTCCTTCCATGCCTTCAATAACCACCGACACGCCAAGGAACACACATACCAGTCTCCAGCCTAGACTTCTTCGCAGACTCTGTTCCCATACCTCCAACTGCCTTCTGAGTAAAGGTGCACATAAATATTCGCATTAAACATGTTTAAAACTGAAATCTTAGTATTTTTTCTCCTCTAACTGGTTCTTCCTAACAGTATCTCCAATTGCTTAAGTTAAAAATTTGAAATTCACACCAGACATCGCATCATATTTCCTTGTCATCTGCCTGACCGTCACTGACCAGTCCCGGTGGTCCCAGGCTCCTTAAACCTTGTGTTTGCTCCTGCCACACCATCTCCACCGCCACTGTCTTGGAACAGTCTTCCAACTGACGGTTTCGCTTTGGTTTTCTTCCAATCTCTCTGGCACTGCCTAACCACCCAGTTGATTATACTTTAAGCATTTCAATGGCTCCCCGTGCCTCTTAGAAAAGCTAAGGCCCTTAGCATGGTATAATATTAGCTGCTAAAAATCAGTCTCCCGCTTCCCTTTCCAGGCTCCTATTTAGCCCCAAACTCCTCCTCCCTTCCCCTACCCCGCTCTATTTTCTCACCATAATAAAGCACTTGTAGTTCAGTGCTTGAAACTGCTTCATGCCCCTACATCTTTGTTTACGCTGCTCCTCTTATTATAACACCTCTCTCAAAACCCCTAACTCTCTCACCTGTCTCATGCCTTACCCATGGATCTTATAACCCTCAAAACCCCTAACTCTCTCACCTGTCTCATGCCTTACCCATGGATCTTATAACCCTCAAAACCCCTAACTCTCTCACCTGTCTCATGCCTTACCCATGGATCTTATAACCCTCAAAACCCCTAACTCTCTCACCTGTCTCATGCCTTACCCATGGATCTTATAACCCTCAAAACCCCTAACTCTCTCACCTGTCTCATGCCTTACCCATGGATCTTATAACCCTCAAAACCCCTAACTCTCTCACCTGTCTCATGCCTTACCCATGGATCTTATAACCCTCAAAACCCCTAACTCTCTCACCTGTCTCATGCCTTACCCATGGATCTCCTCGCTGCATATCTCTTAAGTCCTTCTTCATTATTGTATTTGCCACATGGAACTTACTATATTCTACTTGGCCCCCAGTGTACCCTTCACATTCTTGTATTAAAGTCTTTAGAATACTTTTTTGTAATTCATTAAATGTCTGTGTTCTCTTATTAAACTACAAGATCTAGAGGGTGGATACTGGATGAATGGTAAGTACTCACTGGCTTGTGGAATGAATCAAAGAACGATGAATGGGTAACTTCTGGATGAGGAAAAAAGAAAAGGTTTTTTGGAGGTGGTATCTGAGCTGATGTCTGAAGCAAAAACATAATCTTAATATACAAAAGGGGTAGAGAGAATTACAAGCAGAGATAACAGAATGAACAATGATTCCTGGCCAAAGAAAGTATGATGTGTGTGAAAGCAATGGCAGGTACTGCTGCATGACTGCGGAGCCACAGGGATGAAATGATAAGCTGAGGCCAAAAAAAAGAAAGGCTTAAGGGGTTTCAAATCTATTCACATAGACAATGGGAAATCAGTATTTAAGGCAAGAG